TTGGGTTCGAGAACCGTTTTCCTTGCTTTTTCTTTATCCATGCACCCATGACCACCTCCACCTTGATTTGTCATGGGTCGCCTTTTCATCGTAAACTCCGCCCTCAAGTTGGCTGGATTAGGTGCCCAAATAACTAAATCTTTATGGTCGCTATTTTTCTATTTTTGGGGACGTAATTGAAATACTGACCACAGCTTGACCAGCGTAAGCATACGTTATACTTCCAGCAGCCATTGCAGCACTGGAGATTGTAGTCGCACCTGCTAGCTCTGACAGTGGAATGTGCGGCATTATGGCTAGTTTCTGGAACAGGATAAACTTCTTTCTGTATTTTTTTGTCCGTATACTTTGTGTTAAATTTTAACAATAATACGCATGAAAGCAGCGGTCACGATAACTTCGATGGGCGCTAACGCAAGATACGGGGCATCCTCTAGGATTAGGCCTAGGGGGAGGGGATGGAACTTTGAGGGTAATGAAAATTGCCCACGCACTCTGGAGTCGCTGCTCCCCCGAGGCTTAGTTCAAAACTTCAAGTTCTGAATAAAAACTTGATGTTCTACGTGGTATCAAACACAGTGCCACAACAGTGGTCCCGTATCTTGCGATAGTGCTCTTCACTCACACAAAATCTTCAGGCTCGGGGACTAGGCTTACAGTACCCGACTAACCTAAGGTCTGCCCATTATTTATGTCACTTCCGTTCATTATCTATCTTCATTTTATTCAGAAAAGTCAGCCATATTCGTTTCGAGCATCGCGCTAGCACGATTTGGGGACAGGGTTAACCCTATGTTGCTACAAGTAGCAACGGGGGGTCGTATTTTGATGAGTTTGTCAGAGGGGGGTCGTACTTTGTTTCGGTTTTGGGTTAGAAATTTGCTCTATGAAAGGAGGGGGTCGTATGAAACATTTCATGATGGAGGGGGAGTGTCAGTCAAACTTTTCGCAAAAGTAGCAACGAGTTAGGACCGACCCTGTTTGGGGATCGTTTTAGGGAGATTATCAGGGCCTCCTTTATCAGTGCTTCCGTGTAGCCTTACCTTCGAAGTACCTGCCTCCCTGTCCCCAGAAACCCTGTCGGAGCGAGGAATGGAGAGTGGGGGGGGGGGGGGGGCAAAATTGACAAACAATCCCAAACACAAACGTCACAGAGAAGTTTCAACCTTTCCCCAGCTACCATGAATATGTCTTCTTCCCATTACGTAGCCTACAGTGCCGATTACCCAACACCCTTCCCTCAAAGACCTGTACGGGCCTCCTGAGCTTTGCGATGAGAGCTTGACCTCGCCATTACCGTAATCGTGACCGTTTCTTCAACAAATGTTGCTAAAAAGTGTACTAGACACGAGCACGCCCAATGGCTAAGGCAATTGTGATCAGCACATTCCCGATCAGTGAAATGCATGACATCAAAAAAACATTTTGAACACTTGTGAGCAATATGAAGAACGGCACCATGACGACGAAAATGATCTTGACCGAGATATCAACTCCGAAGAAGAATTCGATCATCTCAGAAATAAGGTGATTAATGATTGGCTGCTCATTGACTGTGGTAAGAGCGAAGCTTGTGCCACATAACTTTGAAATTTCCACCAAATCTCAGGAAAGGCTAGGGGGTTATTTCGGGTGATTTTGTGGGTGGACCGCAACCAGCAAATACATAGGACGGGAGCGTTAGCGGTAATGGAGGCTGGCAAGACTTTTTGCGTCGCCTACTCTTAAAAAAAATCTTAACCGCGCATAAATCGTGGCGTCGAGTAGTAGTAGGGTAGAGCCTTGAAACAGCCCAAGGTCAACTTACCTCCCTGATATGCTCCGATACGAAAATATAGAATACACTACAGATACCCAACTGTAGAAGAAATAGACAAAAATTCACGGCGATTCTGAAAAGGTCGAAAGGTTAACGAGGCGAACTGGCGACTGACAGGGCTGTGCATGTCATGAGACGTGCTGTGGATGCGAGACAATGTCGATCAATTTTACACTTTCAGATTCTGTATTGTTATTTCTAGATTAAAATTTAAATCTAACAATAATGCAGTTCAAAAATGTGTTGTGAAATTTTAGAATAAAGGAATTCTTTCGGGGCCGCCTCGCAGCCGCACGCGTTCAAGACTGTCGAACTCATGAAGATTCTTTCGTTTTGCAATGTCCCATGAATTTGAAAAGAAGAGAAATGATGGAGCACAAATTAGTTTTCTGTAAGATGTGAATAAGTCCAAACATACTTGGCCGGCAAGGCGAGAAACCTTAGTCCTGGTCCTCGAAGTTATGAAAGCTTCCTTCGCCATGTCACCGTAGTCCAGCGCTATTTTCCTATTAATTGATTCGGTCAATTGGCTAGGTCAGACAATATTTGTGAAAAAAAAAGTTTAAAATCTGTGTACAAACAGTAGATAACAATTAAATTAAACAAGGAAATAAAGTATAATAATTCCTTACGTGATAAAACAACAGACAGTGAATCGGGTACCCACTTAATATCCACAATGTAATGACGTGCGTGAGTCACGGCTGTGGCTTCCAAAGGAAGACAATTGGCGAAGGTACTAAGGTGGAAATACTGGGTTGGGGGGGGCCACGCGGCGGCGCGGCAGTCTGCTCACCTGGCATCTTCGGAAATCCGTGAGCCAGGGGGAGTGTAGCCAGTCTAGGGGGGTGGGGGGTGGGGGCAGTCACTTGACATGCGTGAAAAGCTGGAATGTTCGAGTTTACACTGTCTCGCTCGAGAGAGCCGTCAGGTGAGCAGACTGCCTCGCCGCCGCGTGGTCCCCCAAACCCACTTAGCACCATGGGAGCGACCATTGCCACCATTTTTCTGTGTTGAACCTTTCTAAACCGTTGTTTTCCTGTTTTGGGCAGGTCCAAAAAACACGCTACGCAACCGCACGCATTTATTGCACAATTATTACCACCAACCTGTCATTCTTTTCCTTCGCGGATGTCTCGTCGTTTTCGAGCTCCTCCACACCACGTTGAGTTGCTTCTGAAGAATCATGCTGGGTGGAGTCCTATGAGAGGAAACTCTTACGAAAAGCTTCCAAAATGGCTGAATGAATCGGGCTTAAGCGATGATGTTACCGATCTACTCATTGAAGGATTGAATGGCGGATCCGGGGTTTCCGATGTCTTCGTCTCAGTCGTCTTCAGAGACTCGGTCCTTGAAAAATTACTTTTTTGTAAGGTGGTAAGACGAGCAGAAAGAAAAGGGGGGCTGGATTATGGGAAAACACAATATTGAGTCGTGAATTGACTGGGTAACCCTTCACGATGACCACATTGCCGGTGACATACGACTGACAATAGTAGAACGTGTCGCAAGAAGTTTCGTACGCTATGCGCGATCGGGTGGTAACTTACTAAAACGCATGGTAACGAATAGGTATTGATTTTACGCGCGCATAAGCGATGCCACGGCGCATCGTTCCAAGGATTAATCTAACCATAAGACTTGTCTGAATTTCTCATTTTACTCTCAAATATTTTAGGCTTTCACTGTTCACAAGCTGTTGGCCGAGGTAACTATCCACTGACAAACATCGCCGGTGACATACACAGTATATGATTCGTGAGCTGGGCAGCTCCAACATGAGGAAGATGTGTAAGTTTGTAACATTTCCATGAGCTCACCTAGTACTACGGTTGTCATCAGATTTTTGGCTATCCTGCAGTGCTCGCTTTTCGGAGCGTGTAGCATCCTGAAAACGACAGACTTCAGAGGAATAGGTTCGACAAAAACCAGCAAAGCGGCAGCATTGAGCTCCTTACCGAATTAGTGTAATCCTTCTTGTTGTTTGTCGCACAGTAAGGCACTGGTGACGAAGGACGTTTCGAAGAGCTTGTTGGAACACATTGTTTAGCTTCTTTCCTTAAGATGCTTCTTATGAACACAGATCTGGCATAGGTCTAACTGAAAGAAACTTAAGTGGCCAGTAGTTCGGCCATAACTATGTCAAATCACTTACATCTTGCTAAGATACTGTGAGCATTTCACCAGCTTTATCATGCAGTGGGCGTTGGCGACTCCAAGAATGAATGTTAGTATGGTCCCTACCTGAAAAGACATCACCTTTCATACTTTATTGTTTATTTATGACGTTGTGCTCAAAGCAAACGCAAGAAACACTCAAAAGCTTTTGCTAATGGAGCGTTCATAGTTGGCGATCGTACGTGCGATTAGGCGATTAGGCGATAGGCGATGATTCAAAAAGAAAAATATACGTATCGATAGGCGATTAGAGGCGAGTAGGCGATTAGGCGAGTAGGCGAGTAGGCGATAAGAGAAGGATGTGTATTGATTTGATGCTCCGCCCATCGAGCGATCGCCTAATCGCCTAATCGCCTAATCGCCTAATCGCCTACTCACGTAGGTCGCCAATCTGAACGCTTCATAAGCTATCGAAGGCTGCTTTCAAGAATATCCATGTGATGATATCCAAAACGCTCCTTATTTTAGCTGCGCTTACAATGCAGTTTTCACAGAGTCCCACCGCGAATATGGGGGAATCCCAGAAAAACCAAAGTTCACTGCACCCCCTGGTTTCCCACTCCCATCCGTACTCCGTCTGTTTTTAGTTGTTGCCGTGCGGTCCGCCATGATCGGGCCTTCCCTTCCCAACCGGTGCTCTGGTTGCTTTTTCCCCTCGTTCATTCATCGTTCTTAGATTTGTTCTCATTAAGAGGTCAAACAATCTTAGTCCGCGTACCCTTTAGGACGACCGCCGTTTGTGCGTGCAGTTCACTTTTATTCATTTTAAATTTTTTCTTCAGTAGTCATAAATTCTCCAACAATTTCATTATTAGTAATGAGCACAGTATTTCGCGGATCCATTAGTGTAGTATGGGCAATTTTGAGACATGAAAAATGGCAAATAAACAACGAAAAACGAGTCGCCTTCGAGTGGAAGTGTGGCCCACCGGCGGGCCACACGGTCGTCAAAGGGGCTTAAAGCAACAGTCCCAGCAGGGTGGGCGTGGTCGGAAACGGCTGCAATCCCCTCGGCCGATTCCCACTTCGGAGCTGTTCAGCCCCTAGTCAAGAACGTAAGAAGTGTGACTGAACAAAAACTCACCTTGGAAAGCCGCTAGGCAGGGAGCTGAAGTGGGCGTGGTCGGAATCGGCCGAGGGGATTGCAGTCGTTTCCGACCACGCCCACCCTGCTGGGACTGTTGCTTAATCCTCACAGGGGTAACTTTCAAAAGCATGTTATACATTTCTGTATCTCTGAAGATTTTTTTTCACTTGTTCTGCCTATTTACTGGGCTGTTGTCGCGTGGAACTGTGCTGTACATGGATTGCCATACCTAGGAGTTCTGTGGACCGTTTATGACCGTTTCAGCCGTATTAAGTGGGATTGAGCTTGATTTCCTGCTATTGCAGCCCATAAGTTTTGCAGCGACGTCTATGTTTAATTTAGGAGCAACTGACGAGGTCTTTTTTGAGCTTGGCTTTGGAGGGAAGATGCTCCCGTCCATGGTCAAATCCTTCTTCACCCAATAAAGTCTACCGGACAGTGAAACCGTTTGCGCCGAGGTGTGCGCAAAACCCCTGACATCTGGAGCAGTTGTGTTTTAATGAGGAAGAGAGCAAAGTCATGCTTACTAGCCATTTCATTTCATTGTTTCCGAAAGCACACGTGGTTAAGGTTTTGACCCGGCACAGTCGCTTAGTGGCACCCTGGACTATAAAATGTTACCACCAAGGCAACTCATGCTTGTACGTCAAAGACGGTACTCAACAGAAGATACGAGCGAATTTCACTTTACCATGGGCGGAAAGGGGTGTAGTGGCAAGTGGCAACGCTTACCACGCGAGCGGTCCGGGGATCAAATCCTGGTCGTGAGTCGCCCGGGCCAACCAAGCCTTCCATCCCTCCGGGGTCGGTTAATTGGTACCAGACTTGTCTGGGAGGATAAAAACACTGACTTGTACATCGGCTGGCCCCCGCAAGTCATTGTATAGGCCACATCGCATTCAAACGCCACTACGAATGTACAAATGGAAGTAGAATGCGTGCCGCATCCCAAAAAGGGATTGATCAACGGCAAATGCTTTTATCCTTTTTATTCTTTACCCAAAGTCCAGCCTGCTGGAATGCGACAGGGAGAGCAAATATGCCCACACCGGCCATTGCCTTCACCAGGTTGATCCATGCATGCCATGTTCTGAAACACTCGGGTTTAATCATATAATTTAGTAATTGATGGATACCATAGTACCCGTCGTCCATAAATACGTAGTCTGTATTATAGTTATACTTCTGACAAAGGAATGCGTATCCACCGTGATGCTTGATAGATGTCGATGATGTTTGCACGGAATAAGTGCGCGATTGTTGATAGTAAATCATGTTCTGTTATCATCATAAATCAGAGTCTGCGCTTGTTCCCGTTATTATTTGCCGAGTGAGCTGATGTATTGGTTATCCGATGATTTCAGCTGGGACATAGAAGTTCCCGCTCTCAACTGGCTTATAAGAGGGGCTTCATCTAGCCTAATGATTCATTACTTGTACTCTTACTGCTACGGCTGTGGATCGCAATCCCAGCTAACCACAGATGTCACTTCTCTTTTACTGTGGCGGAGCTCGTGGACTGCGACTTCATTTTTAAAAGCGATCCCTGTTTTGGCAAGCTACTAACTGCGCATAATACTGATGGAGGTCTTCATCAATGATTTATGGCGTCTCATCATTCATTCATTCATGGTTTATAGCTCTTCTGGAGTAAAATCATACCTCATCATGGTTGTTCCCGTGCTCTTCCTTTATGGATGTCAGATAGGTCTGTTTCAAAAGTGCCCTGCCGAGGACGATTCTGAAAAAGTTCATATCATGGAGGATTGCGTATAGGGGTCCAAATATGGAATCGGATCCGCATTACTGTAAGTTGTCTCATAGATGGGATGTAGTAATTTAGGATTCAATGCTATGATTCAATGGAATGATCGAGACTCCACACACTACCTAGTTTCTAGAAGGAATTTTTTTGGAGCTGAATTGGACTGAAATTGTGTCGATGTCTCAGATCGCATTAGTATAGGAGAGCGGGGATGGTGAAGGGCTTATGGGAAGGAGAGGATACCTGAAATCGACTGGACTCCGGGGGTGACCCGCCTGGTGCCGACAAGTGTGGCCAAACTAGTGTTAGCAGTCAATTAGTTCCTTGTTGGGGCTTAAGGGTTGGGGGTGCTTGGTTGTAGCACAGGGCTAGCTCAACAAGGTAAAAATCCCGGTGGAGTAGTTTTACTGCCCGAGTGGGAATTTTGGTATCTAACCTGATTCCTGGAGTTGCTTTATTTTGGGATGCGAAGGGATAAATAGATTACTTGCAAGTTCTTTACTATACTTAGTTCACTCAAAATACGTTTGTGAACGAATACGATGATGAACATTCAAATGGAAGGGCATGAAAAACTTGCTAGGCTCACAGTAAAGTGATCCTGCGAGCTGTTTCGTCAAGAGACAGCGCCTACAGCCATTGCGCCACCTTTGTCCTTCAACCGTTAATGTTATGGTCAAAAAATTAAACCGTTGTGATGAATATTAATAGCTATTCCATTGAAGATGATATAAAAGTCGATGTCAGGCATTTTTTCAATTATGCAAAAAATCAATCAAAAATCAGGAAACTACGGTACAACAAACCATAGTGAGATAACTATAGAAACCTATTACTTTCAAAAAAAAATTAGGAATAATTAATTGTTGACAAAAAAAAAAATCCGTCACGAAACAGCAAGTGCAATTGTTAGTGCTGAATGAAGGATGAATTCATTACCAGCTACGACTGATGTTCGTGTGGCGAATAGAAAGGAATATATTATGCTATGGTTCGTTTACTACGAGTTGTGGTCGCTTCAGTATTCTATAGATTTATTTATTTATTCGCTTCCTTATTTGTTTATTTGTTTATTTATTATTTACTTATTTCTTTGCTACTATGCAGTCGGAAGGTGGCTATCAAAAGTACACAGAGAAGCAAAATAATTACCAATTAAAATAGCATGGGATGAACAAAACTATTATATATGGAGGCAATATTGTTTGCTATAAGCTGTAATATGGCGAAACCTTTTTCGTTTACTTTCGATGTATCACTATCCCGTTGGAAAGCAGAATGAAGCGATTATGTAGGTCGCGCCATGAACCAGGACTTCATCGAAGTTTTTCGAAAGTTTTGAACGTTCGTCCGTCCGTGATTCGCTGCATTGATCGATGCTTGAATTGATTTGTGGTGCAGATTCCTCCATAGATAAGGCAGAGAGCACTGAGAAGGGCCGGTCTGGTTGGCATTTTTTCATATTGTTGTAGGGGGCTTATAAAATACCATGGCGCCTCTTCATCGCCATGTCTACCATCACAGGTCAATTGTAGATTATTATATGTAGCTTTCTGATGTTTACTTAAGAGTTTATATTTACTTGAAAAATAGGTCCAGTCATTTGGCGGTCTTTGGATTCCCAATCTAGTGGAAATGGCACGATGGTATGATGGTTTTGGTCTAGGAAATGGCCTGTTTGGTCAGCTTTTGTACAAGTTATCGATTCATTCTCTCACTTGACCCTGCCTTGATTTTAGAAGATTCGTAGGGGGAGGGCTGTCAGTGGCTTGGTTAAGGGGTTCTGATCTAGGCTTCACTCCCAGGCCAGCGATATTAAGGCACGATCACATTCACTCTGCCCTTTGCAACTGTGAAGTTGCATGGTCTGGTAGAACAAAGAAGCGGAACGCGTTAAAAAAAACCGAAAAAATTCTGTTTGGAAGTGTGAGAACTCACTAATAGACGCGGGCACGAGCATAATAATGTATACGAAGTTATACGAAACGATAAGACAGGAATTTATTGCTTTATTGGAAGTTCGAAGAGTTCGTCTTAACCGATGACTTCTTAAACTGTCGCACGCATACAAACTATCAGTTAATCTCCATATCGGACGAGAGTGACTTGCGACACTGACAACCTCGGGTGAGCATCAAGAGTTAGCGGGCTTGAAGGTTTCTGCACAGCCCCTCTCTCTGCACCCCGATTCACAAGGAACTAACATGAGAAAAAGCGATAAAAAAGATAAAGCTTGTGCGTTGGTCAATCCGTGTTGGGTATGCGCACTTTCTCTCTCTCTCTCAGACAGTCGCTAGCAGGGTATGTAGAATGCGATGTGGCTATATCATAACATAGCGGGGCCAGCGATGTACAGTAAGCTGTTTTTATATCCGTAACCGACCCGAGAAGGAATGGAAGGATGAGTGCCAGAAGACGACGACCCAGGATTTCGTTCGCGAACGCGCGCCTGATAAGCGTGCATTTCACTAATCAAATCGCGATCGGAAAGGAGCGATAGTTCTTATAGAATTCAATGATTTGACGAAAACTTTTAATGTAGAAGCTCTAGAGGCTGCATGGTCGTGCTGCACTAGTTACAGATCGCTATGGGTGGAAAGGGGGGGGGGGGTAGGTGGTGAAAAGAATCATCGTAGATCGCACAGTTATTTATTTATTGATATTTGCAATGTAGTCGAGAAATGTGGGGAAAAATCTGATGGTTTGAGCCCTCCTCGTCTCGACGCACTTCTGAAGTTTTGTTGGCGGTTTTGGGGCGGAGGTGGAAGTGTGTCAGGTTGTACCAGATTTACCCACTTTGTGAGCCATCTTTTATCAACGGGCCATCAAAAGATGGGGGTGACGGGGTTGGAGGCGCGACAGCGCTCTCGAGTAGAGTAAGGTAAACGATCGGAAAATTTCCCGGGGATGCAAGCGAAGCGAAAAAACGAGAGACACGGCCAGTGAAAGGATTATCGGAAAGGTGAAGCCACTGAAATGTGATGAACTCGAAGGTACATAGCAGATGCGTCGCCCTAAATACACAGTGTGACTTTATCAAACACGAATTTTATTTCGTTTATGATTTATCAGGCAGTCGAACGGTGCTACTGACACTTGGAACAAACTCAAACAGATATGATTCATGTTATTTCATGGGAGTGAGGGAACGCCGGATGGAAAATCTGGCGGACATGGAGAGGGAAAGGTCCCCACGCATACTACAAGATCAACGTGAATGATGCTTGGCAAACTAGTCTCGTCGTAGAGTCAGCTTAGTCCGATAGCGTTCAATGGGACAAACATCGCACATCGATAGATTTAATCTAATCGGAAATTCCTGGCAACTGTTCCAATTCCGATTAAATAAATCTGTTGATGGTTTGCAACTGACTTTTCCTAAAAAAACGAAATATTGAAGTAAAAATATGGAATAAAAAATGAGATGAAAAATAAAAAAGAGTAAAATAAAATGGGGCTGAAATTCTTTCTCAGAAGAGCCAAAATTCAGATGGAGAACGCTTCGCCCCTACTCCCTCTTCCCGGTAGAAAGAGTGCTGCAAACGTCTCAACAATCCAACCGCTCTGATAGCCCCAACCGTTCTTAAGTGCTATCACAAGATACGGGGCATCCTATAGAACTACATAGTCCTAGGAGGGGCAGGTTCTTTGAGAAAAATGAAGATTGCTTTCACATCCTGAAGTTTCTCGTCACCCTTTTGAGGCTTATGGTTAGTTCCGTTTTTAATATAGGGGGATGTTTTACGCGGGTTCTAAATGCATTGCCACTACAATGCCCCATATCTTGCGATAGCGCCCTTTCACCCTAATAACCTCGTGGCAGAACTATGAAAACCCAACGGTAATGAACCACAACAAAAGTTCTAAGAGTGAGGGACTTGAAGAATCTCAAAAAGCCCAAGTTATCCGAAAAACGGACTTGATGGATAGCGTTTTTCAAGAAGAAACTCCACCTTCCAAGAAAGCTTAAGCTATAATTTTCTATCTTTTCTCCTTACTTGGAAGTGAACTGCAGAATAGATCTAAAAGTACAGAACTAAGGAGATTGGTACGAAAACGACAATATTTCTCCAATTTGAAGAGAAGAGTACGTTTTTTTGTCTCAAGAAAATTGGGCCATTTCGGCTATCTACAGATGGAATTAGACAAGACAAGTTATTGTGCTGTGTACTTTTATCGGAAGGTAACTGAGACTAAATCACTTGCCCTCTGACGAGCAAACCTGTCCTGTACTAATGCCCAGCAAATCATCGACCTTTTGCCCTGCCTTAGAAACGAATTTTTGAGAGCTGACCGAAGTCTACGATTTGAATTACGTCCTCTGTTTGATCACTGAATTCGTCTAAATTATCCCACCTTCCAGGGTCGCGTCCTTTGGTCAGCACCCCAAATTTAATAGTTCTTAAACACTATTACGGTGATCCGAAGGGATGCTTTGAACGATTTGAAGTGAGCAATAGAAGGGTACAAAGAAGTAATTAGTCGAAAATTGCATAAAAAAATCATTTCATCCTTCGACACTCTTGACGCATAATTGAAAGACGGTCAGATTTCCTCGTCTATTGTGTTGGCATGTATGAAAAAGTCTACCGGTTTCAGACGATCGATAGCAATGCACTAAATAGTTCGATTCAGACAACCAGTTCGTCGGACACTTATCTGTTCCCATGAATCCTGGGCCAAGGTGACGTAGCGTCTGAAGGCTTCATGTGGCCTTCGAGGCCCTCTTGGTTATTAGAAGCTTTCAATCTTCTGATAGGGAAAGGCTCGACAGTGTGAAGTTGGAACATTAACTATGTCAGTAGCGGGTCAAAGTGTTCGCCAAAAATTTCACCGCATTATTTTTTCTGTCGCTTGACAAATTTCTCCGAGGTTTATATACGGAAGTTTTCTAAGTGTTTTGCTATCAAATTCTTAAGAATCAGAATACTCAGAGAAAAATTTCCAAGTTCACATTGATCTTTTTCCTGGCAAAAAAGCGGGGAAAGCAAGCGTAATAACTTCGTATAGCATACATTTTACCGCTACTGTACATAAACAACCATATGTCTGTAGTTTGTATGCGCTAGCTACACCTCCCAATCCTTTTCTTGGAAATCGCTACATGATTAAAAGCTGAAAATGGCCAGAGGTCGCCTCGTGAGTTCATGCAACTGCCGGGTATTTCGAAAATAATTTGTGAAGTATGTGAATTTCCGGGGGAAAAGCTCACCGGCGGCGCGCGCGAGCGCGTTTAGTGACTGAAAGTGAACGTCACGCTGCGGCAAAGGGCAAGTATGGTCAGCGACGCTGCACTTTCGCGGTCATAAGGATTCTTGGAGTGTTCTGGCCGATACAACTTTTTCAATTCTGTTCTACCGGAAGCGAATGATTGTGTTAGGTACACTAGGTACACAGGTACTGAGGATTGGAATTTTTTGAAAATGGAGAGGGCGACAAGAACCCCATGTGTGAACCCTTAGGAGAACACAGTCAAATAAACTCAACTCTTATTTCTACGCATTACACAGTGAAGTAAGAGCACAACAGATGCCTCGCGTATTATGTATTAAGTACTGACGTAAAGAAGTTGGCTCTTGCTAGCTGCTTGCCGCACGCAATTGACGCTCACCACGCCGTACGCAGTCCGCGCGCCGGTGAGCATTTTCCACCGGCAGCCCGGTTTTGCATAGGTTGATGGGCGTGGCTTGTGAGTGGGCCTAGCCTTTGGGACGAGATCGAGATTCACTCCATTCTTCTATTTTGATATTTTGAGAAGCAAGAAAGGGGCTCATTGAGGAGAAGTGCAGGTTCACGGATGCTGGCGCCTATGACAGCAGGCAGATTTGTTATGTGGAACCACTAAAAAGATGTGTAATTAGTAGGAACAACAAGAAGTTTTCCGAATCTTTTACCCGACACGCAAACACGCTAACTGCATGATTTTTCGAATATTTAGCCTTCTGTTGATTGAAAGCCTGAACCGGCCCAGCAGGCCGGTTTTCACGGCGCGCTATGCTTTGTTATACAAAAATCTGCGATGAATTCTCCATCTTGTGAAGAAAGTGAGGTGGAGGGTGACAGGTGACTGAATAGGGTAGCTTGGCCCCACACTGTCAAGGAACCAACCTCAAGTGAACAAACCGTTCATAACATCACGAAGGGTCGAAAAGGATTCGCCATATGGGCTCAATTTGATCGATTGGGTGAAATAAAACAAGGATGCCAGCCGCTCACAGAGAGGCCGGTGCAAGCATAATGGGCTATTTCAAGAAGGTGGAGCAGATGTTGGCCAGGTACCTAATCATTAATTCTAAGACCTACGTGACAGATGTTTGGTGGTTGAATTACGTGATTCCTAATGCTTTTCATGCTTACAAGTGAAATCTTCGAAGCTATAGAAGTTTATTTGATTGATTACGTTCTGATAGTTGATGGATCAAAGAGGCACAGCGATCGGGAGCGCCAAACCCCGTATTGCAGTCCTCGAGATAAAATTTGGGCTCAAGCACGGGATGGCCTACTCCTCTAGGTCAAGTGGTAGGAGAATTTGTCTAGGATGGACTGGTTTCAGTCTCGACACTGCGATTTCGGATGTTCTTCGGGTCTATTCTAGTTGGGGGGCATCAGAATGCAGTTTCCTAAAGCTATGGAATCTCCGCTCTAGGTTGGGGGTGTAGCCAGTCTAAGAGGTGGGTGGTGAGGGTAATCACTTGACATGCGTGAAAAGCTAGAATATTCGATTTCAAAGTAAAACCTTCAAAGTAAACCGAGAAATGCATAGTTACGCCGCCCCCCCCCTGACTAGAAGCTGTTATCGAATACATGGCGCAGTCTGAAGTAACGCCTCAGCTTAGCGCTGCTTGGTTCGCGCACGTTCTCGTTTTTCGTGGGATGTGACAATAAATATTGAAATATATTATTTATTTATTTGTACAATTATATGTCGACATTAAATAAACAATCCGATTCGAATATTCAGCTTGATTCTCCCTTGCATCAAACTTTGATCGTCGCGTTGACTACACCCCTAATATGGCATAGAAACAACCCAAACCAACATATACAGATACCCTGAGTGTGGTGAAATTCGCCCGCCATTCTTCAATAAACACGACCACTTCGAGTATTGCCGGCAGGACCAGAGCGAGGAGCATACCAGCAGTCACACCAACCAACGGGATTATCTGGTCCAGATTTGGTATCAACCATGCCAAGCCCACTGAAAAGAGTGTGATCATAGTGATTTTGTGATCATGCTTCTGGAGTAAGCCATGCACTTCTTAAGGCCAATGAATCGTCCACTTACATGCGACAAACACTATCGAGAATCGGAACAGGTACTCGAGTGCGATGATGTAGGCTCGTTTGGTGTTGCGAGCTCGTAGTGGCCGCTTTGCCATCGGCCAAAGCATTTCCACTATCGGGTATTGCTGGATAAGGAAACTCGAAAAGACGACGCACAATAACATACACTTCACCGAGAAGTTCAATCTGGAAGAAGAAACTCTAGAATTTTACATTTTTCTGGGAAACTTTGAGGTTTTTCATTCCGATTTCCGCTTTCCGGCAGAAGACGAGGGGACGCTATGAGTTTTTGGGCATTTGGAAGGACTGTGAAAGGCAAGACGAGGTGGTCACACTTCTACTGAAGATTAGCGGAGAACTCTTTTTTCCCTAGAACCTTCTAGAAATAAAGCGAAATGAACAGAAGGGTGCGAGCATATAGGCAACTCATGGTCAGGGCAATTACGCTAATGATAGGTATTGATTGCTCAGCTGAGAAAATGTGGGGTGGATTTAGTGGCAATAATTGTTAAACACGCTCGAGAACGCGTTCTTGGTTTTGGCGGGAGCTAGGAAGCACGTTTAGCCACCCATTGTTCAAATTGTGGGGATTTGACGTCCCCTGCACCTCTTAGAGAGGGTCTTTATACAATCCCCACCACCACACAGCCTAATGGGAATGCCTGGGCACGATCACCTTCCTCACCATCACGGATGTTTCCCTAGTGTTTGATTCTGAGACCAAAGACACGGTCCACTTTGTTTTACACGACCCCCTTTGCCGTCGCCACGACCCCTTCAACTTCCACAATGACGACGCCCTCGTCGACCTTTTCACTAGTTCACCTCAAATACGACACCCCCTCCCGGTTGACAACTGTGAGGACTGCGCAACGATGGCTGACTCTTTTTGAAGACTTTTTTTGTTTTTGAGGTTAATAAACGGGCTAATCTTCCAAAAACTTACGGTGTATCAGATAGATTCAGTGTGACACTGCCTTGGACTTGATCCCCATAGGTGATGTAGCCGTAGAATCCACATGCCGCGTAGATCAACGTTACCAAGGAAACGCCCGTAGAAAGAACACCGTTGAAGCCATCCATGTCTTTCGGATGCTTCATTTTGTTCTCCAGTGGCAGCACCTGTAATATCCTTCGTGATACCTTTGCTGTGGAAATTGCTTTGAAAGGGTTTTGAATAGTTTTCTGCGGATTCAGTGAAATCTTCAATTTACGCGTTACATAACCCATAACCCGAGGAGGACGGTGGGAGCCAGAAATTAGAAGAAAATCGACAACTACCACTACTACTATGTATTCTCTGCTCAATTGCTGTGATGCTGTTTATTTACTCTATAGAAGGTAGCTAAAGTACCCTCGATTTCGGAAGACGAGAAGAAAATCGAGTGCAGACCACACACCATAAGAGACGACGGCCAAGAAAAAAACGCTTTCTCTTGGCCGTCGTCTCTTATGATGTGTGGTCTGCACTCGATTTTCTTCTCTCCTTCCGAAAGTAGAGTATACATGGCCTGCACATTGTGTTGACTAATCAAATAAAAATTCCACAAAGTTTCAGACCAATATAAGAAGCCCGTACTCGTCAACTAGGGGTTTCCTCACGTTCACACCCTTTACAGGTACCGTAATTTTTGGTCCAGTCGGTGTCCTTGATTTTCGACACAATTCTTCTCAGCTACTAGCCTTTTGAGATCACTACGCAGTGATAACTCCATGAACGTGGTGTCTAAAATAAATAACGGGTACTATCGCAATACAGAGGGGCATGTTAAGGTGATGCATTCGAAACCGCATGAAAGGTTTCCTTTTTGTCGAAATCGGGGCTAAGCCTTAGGCGGTAGCAGAGAGACTCCTGGGTGTGCAAGCAGTTTTCATTTTCTTCGAGGTTTTGCCCCCTCCTAGGCTTAGTCCTAGAGGATGCCCCCGTATATTGCTATAGTGCCAAATAACCTTTGTGATCCATCCCATGCTAGGCCCCCTTCCATTGCTTGAGGGTTGCTGAATTGACGCCAAGAGGACTGTGTGAAGCTTTGAACACTACTGTACCGACCGACTAATTGTTACCACCATTCGTAGCAAAAGTCAAGTGTTTTTCATCATTTTTAACTATCGAACCTACGTACCATTGCTTGTCCTTC